GTAAGCGGCATCCTTACAGTCGCGTATTCCTTGAATGAAAATGAGGCAAAAAGTGCTTCCTAAGGGAGCTACGCCCCTTTTGATAGTACACCTCAAAAACGATTTTTTCTCTGTAACTTTAAAATCCTTCCTAGGAGAAAATCGACTCTGAAACCTTCTGATTTGTGTGAATCACAATAACCTGAATATCAAATAAAGAGGAATGTTTTTACACTTTACCCTCCCCCGCATATATGACGCCCCTGAATAAAATTTTTAAATTTTGAATTCAGTCTCATTTACCAAAAAAAAATTTATGCCGTACGACACCAATTTTCGAAAATGTATTGTGAAGGATTTTAAAGTTATAGAGAAAAAATCGTCTTTGAGGTGTCCTATTCAAAGGGGCCTATCTCCCTTAGGAAGCATTGCGCAAGCAATGCGCCTTTGGAAGGATGCCGCCTACTTTTGAATCATCCTGTATACATATTGGTAAGTAATATTTTTATATCATATTTACATCATATTATTTATCCGATTTGAGGGAGAATGTTAATTCTCAATTTCAGAGAATTTTTATTTTTTATCCTCTCCTTATTCAATGTTCGACGTGGCAAATAGCCAGGAAAATTTTAGTGGTGATTGTATGTTAGAACAATGAAGTATTTAGCAGAGTGAACATCAGTTTCATTCACCATTGGTGTGCAATGTTGATGGGTACAAAAAAGGCCCTTTTATTCGGAAAAAGGATATTAGGGCTTATATTAAATAACTGTTTTTATCAGATTCAAAATCAGCATCCCCAAAAAAAAAACCCAATTCATACTTTCAAAATCTCAAGAAAAATTCAGAATCCCGTTTTCCATGACTACGCCCCAAAATCTCAGTTATTAATGATACGATTTTCTCGAAACTGTGATGGTGATTGTATGTTATTTTTTTAACATACAATCACTATCAAAATTCAGAGAGAGATGATTTGCCCCAAAATGTCACTGCGTTTAAAGAATTTTCCTATCAGAGAGCCTAAAAGAAAAATTCACTAGCTTGTCAGTGACAATTTGTATTGAAAAAATTTTAAAGAGAAATAAAGGTATATATATAGAAAGAAATTTCAAATTTTTACTTAGCTTTGGACTTTTCGGGAACGAATCTGCTCCCGTTTTCAACATAAAAAATGGATTTTTTGTATCGCAAATTCGTATTTGTCCTGACACTTTTCAGTTCTCAGAACTCCTTACTACACGTATATTGAAATAATATTAATATTTTTATTTTATAGAACCAAGGAGAGAAAATCCCAAAAAATCTGTAATAATGAATGTACCACCTCCTCAATTAACCTACAGACAGTATTTAACTATAATTGTTTTTTGTGATAATGCTAAAAATGATATGTCATTTTTTGAGAAGGGAAGTTTCCATCCCTTCGAACATAATAAAATCACGTTTAGCAGTTATATAATACACTATTTTTTCTACAAAGGAAACAGATTGCGGATCAAATTTTGTCCAAAACTTCGGCGGATAACATTGCTCTCTGCCCTGGTAGAGGCTTCACCAAAATAATTTGTTACATCTACCAATGAGACTGGCCATATAGTTTCTTATTATAATGGGCTTATATCACAAAAAAAAATTATTTCATAATTCGATAGAACTCACCCAAACTAGCTCACCACCGCAAACCGTTTCTTGCTGTGAGCTCCCTACGTTTTATAAAAAATTATTGAAATCCCCGATTTTTCGGACCTCCGAAAACGATGCGATGATGTGACGTCAAAACCCTAATACTGAAACAAGACTATTCCAGATAGAGTTAGAGATGAATGATACATGATTTCTGACAGAGTGAATTAGCGCGAGATCACAGTTAAAAGAAATAATATATCAGTTGCCTCAGTCTCCGTCGGGCGTTTGGTAGTTTTTTTTAACTATGGCGAGATATGAGATTTCTACGTCATAAGAGGGTCCGTTTTCAGAAGGTACTATTAATTATGTCCAGAAATAAAACATTCCAGTTAATTTTTCGATCGAATTATGTCGTCAATCATTATTTATGTATAAAAAGATCATTATAAACATGGTTTGAGTTAAAAGTTCTACTAAGGTGTACACGCCCATTGTAGTTTCACTAACTGTAGATACGTTATGTTTTTATATTTTCTCATAAAACTAAATCACTTTCAGCACTAGTGCTAAAAGTGACAGCATGCGTCATCTACCGTCATCTACCATTGTTATTCATTTTATAAACATTTGTGGAAATGACTTTGAGCTTTGTATCTATTCTATTTATGTTGTATTACTTTGTATTTAGTCAAAAAATACAGAACCGCGTGGTCTATAATCAATAATTGGTCAAGAAGACAAACCTCTGTCATGGAATAGTACCTATCTGAGATTACCTGGAAATGACTTTGAGCTTTGTATCTATTCTATTTATGTTGTATTACTTTATTGTATTTAGTCAAAAAATACAGAACCGCATGGTCTATAATCAATAATTGGTCAAGAAGACAAACCTCTGTCATGGAATAGTACCTATCTGAGATTACCTATCATATCTTTATTATTATTTAACAAGTCTCATCTATTCGTTTGTGTATGGTAACTACTCACCCCAGGAATCTGATATGCCATACCCGGATCATTGCATTCTTTGAATGTGATGACTGAAGAGATCACCGTTTCAACAGAAAATAACAGTACTGCTCCTATATCCTACAACATGAAATACATTCATCAATATTATTTTCAAACATTATTTGAGGTTTGGAATGAACATCACCTTGATTTCCCAATGAAACATGTACACACATTTTGAAGCTTATTAGTTAACCCAATTGTCGACAGGCGGAGTGCAACTGATATCGCTTATACAGTGTAATTCATAAAGTTGGCATCATATGGGAAAAACTTTTAATAATGATTTCAAATTCGACTTGGGGATTCAGTTTTGCTTCAAAAAGGATGGAAAATTGCTTACTCGGTCGAAGTCAGGTGACTTTCGCTACATGTCAAAAGTTGCATTTTTTCAAATTAATCGCTGAAAATAGGTCTATTTGTTAGAATTTCAAGGAAGTTCACGAGGAAAAGTTGTTTCTATTCCAATTTCACACATGTGTCTCGAATTTGAGCGTCCTATTGCAACTTTTAGTTCTTGATATTTTGTTATTTCTTCTAATTGTAACTTCGACAAAATTGTCCTAAACTCTGGTTTGATATAAAATGGTGAATTTTGATAGATGATGATCATTTTAGTACTAAAAACAACAATTCAAATGAAGTTTGATCCTGAATGATGGACGGCACATCATTAACTTTATATCAATCATAATAGAAATTTGAAGCGGGGATTATTATTTCCTGAAGAAATTTTTCAGTAAAATTTTTTGAAATTCAAAGAAATAAGTCTATTTCCAGCGATTATTTAGAAAAAAATGTAACCTTTGACATTGTGCGAAAGTCACGTGATCCCAACCGAGTAGTCCATTTTTTATATTTTCTGAAGCAAACTCAACGCCCAAGTCGAATTTCGAAATGAATTATTATTAAAAGTTTTTCCCATATGATGCTGACTCAAGAATGACCCGGCATAGTGAGCCGAATCAGTATGTCTCGCTTTTTGTTTTTCTCTCAGAACATTTTTTTGAATAATTATTGAAATCCACGATAGTTACATGAAAAACGCGGGGAAACGCTTGACGACATCCACAATGACCAATCCAATGCAACCATAAATAAGGCAATCCAATGACCTGTCGAACTATGCGCTGGTTGGCACACAATGAAATTATTTATGTGTGATCACAAACAGTAACTATTTTCTTGTTCATTCATCATTTTATTGATTTTATAAATGATGCAAACCAGGCGTCATATTGATTCTAACCTGAGTTGGATTACCTATAATTGTCTTTTTCTGTCAGACAAAGAAAGAATATTTCTGATTGTCATTAACCATTATGAAATGTTTGGCCAATGACATTTTGCTGTGTCTTTATGGCAATATTTTCGACTCTTTTGAAGGGAAGAAAACTTGCTTGTCTGGTTGATAATGTTATGTGATTCATTCAGCTTCATTGCTCTTGATTTTGATTTGGAAATTATCATGAATCGATGAGATATGAATACGAGAGCAGTCAGCATGTACATGTTTGATACCTTTTTGAAAAAATAACAAAAAAAATATCGAACATAGATATGAGATCAGGATTCACTTACTAGATATATCCAAAATCCAGGCCTGTCCACTATACAGCCCAAAGAAAATATGAGATACAATGCTAACTGTACGAGCAGGGTTGCTATTGCACTTATAGGTAATAAATAAGGATACCACCCTGCAGTATTTTCACATATGGGTTGAGCAAGAAAAAATGAGGCACTGAATAATAAGACCAACTGAAATTGATATTCAATTTAGCATGATTCGGGAGAAAAACTACCTAACTTACCATTCCGATCATTTTAAAGATTCCAGTTAAGGTTGTGGGGAATTGTCCACCTTCCAATTTTTTTCTCACTAGCTCATCGTAGGTGTTCGTTACTGGAGATATAGTGTGGAGAAAGAGTTGAGATTTTCTTCTGTTAATAGCATCTTCTGCCATTTTCAAAATCTAGGTCTATAACTCAATAGTCCATTTTCGATGATAACAATAATTATTATTAGAAAGATTGGAAGTGAATCGACACCAATAATACCAATATCTAATCTATATAGATAATCCGAAGCACCACATTTAACAAAAAAAGATTTCATTAAATTTAAATTATATAATCTCTTTGAAACAAATAAAGAAAATACAAGATGAAAATAGTATATTATTGGTATCACTTAGGTACCGAATTTTTATTTCTATAGCAGATTATAAGATATCATTTGAATAGGTAACATCTAATCAGGCAAAATAACTGATAACATTTGGAAACCCTCCTACGTTTTATCTGTTTCACTATAAATTCACTGGTTTATCTGTTCACAATTCCAAAGGTTCAGAACATAATATCCATAAAGACTATCTGTAAAACTTTATTTATGCGATAAAAGGAATGTACAAGTATAAAATATCACGATTAATACAATTCACATTTCTAAATTATTGATTTCTTTGTCCAGTGAAGATACTTTTTTGGTACGTTGAGTCTTTTTGTAGTCCTTATGTTTCTCCTGAATTTCAATGAAGTTTTTAAGCAGCTGATCAAAGTTTATCAAGCGTTGATTAGATACCTTTTCCACAGATAAGCTACTGAAAAAAATATAAAAATATCACATCTTGTTATTATACCGTGAGTACTTTGCAATATTTGAGAGTGATACGGGTGAAGGATAACTTTGAAAGCATATACAGGATCATTAGTTAGTGTATCTGAAACGTGTGATGGGTAAAATGATTTCTGATCTTCTTCATCATTTATGCCATTATGCAAAGTATTACGTATTTTCGAGCTACATATCATGGTTTTCCGAATTCTGCCTAATTTGGTGAATTGGTTCATATGAGTTATGATAAAAATTTGTGTCAAACATTTTAACTTATTTTATATTTTTCTTCTATGAAGTTGAGAACATACAGAGGAGTGCACAAAAAACGGCCAGTGCTGTAACTTCTGAATCATTCGAGATCGGATTTTGAAAATTGGAGGGTAGCAAGTATACCAAATTGCTCATTTATTGACAAAACATATTTTATTCTATCACTTCCGGTTCCACCGGCAACGACCCAAACTTTTGATATTTATATGGGAGACCCTGTATCTTATTCCATAATCGATTAGGGATTATCATGACGAATTCAACGATACTGGGTTTGATAGGGTTATTTCAAACGATCACGAAGATATTTGCGTTCGAAGTTTCCATTCGTAATATCGAAACTTCTTTCTCTGTCACTCATTGAGCATATGAAAACTTAGAACGCGAATATCTTCGTAATAGTTTGGAATAATCTTGTCAAACCCGGTATCTTTGAATTCGGTATGATAATCCCTAACCAATTATGGAAAAAAGTACAGGGTGACCCATTTAAAAATCGAAAGTTGGGGTCGTTTCAGGTGAAACAGAACGTGATAGAACGAAAATTGTTTAGTCAATAAATAAGCGATTTAGTATACTTGCTACCCAAAAATTAACAAAATCTGATTTCGAAAGATTCAGAAGTAACAGCCCTGGCCGTTTTTTGTGCCCTTCTCTGTATTTCATCGATATGAAACACATAGTCTCATAGACTACCGATGACTAAAGGTGTTTCTCAAGGATATGTTTTACGACCAACCTTATAAAGGGTTTTCCAATTGGGACGGGTCGATGTTGGCAGCCTGTGGGAGCCATGTTGTTTTGGTAGCGTCTGTTTAATCTGGTGTTTTTTATTCAGTCACCGATGCCAAATCACCATGGCAAGTTACAGGACTGAACAGCACGCCCAAATGAAAAAACCTTATTATCGAAATGAGTGTTCGTTAGAGCGTTTGAATGAGAACCCTAATTTCGTCCGAAACATCGTCTTTAGCGACGAGACCCATTTTTGGATGAATGGTTATGTCAATAAGCAAAATTGCCGTAGGGACTACTCCAACCCACACGAGGTTCAGCAAGTGAGAATGCATAAAAAAATTACTGTTTGGGGCGGATTTTGGGCTGGCGGTGTCATTGGTCCGTACTTTTTTGAAAATGACGATTTCTTTTGGCACAAATTGAACGATATAGAGGTATACGACATGTGGTTCCAGCAGGATGGGGCTACGTGCCACACAGCTGACGCCCCGAAGGACATTTTGCATGAACGATAGTGTGAATTGCCCACCAAGATCATGCGATTTGACCCCGTTAGACATCTTCTTGTTGGATTTCCTGAAGTCGCAGGTTTATGCAGATAAGCCGCAATCGACCAATGCCCTTAAAGCCAACATAACTAATGCTATCGCTCAAATTCAGCGGGATCTATGCGCCAGTCATTGAAAATTGAACCATTCGGATACGTGCCACCGTGAGAAACCGCGACGGACATTTGAGCGATGTTTTATTCAATACATAATGGAATACATGGGCCTTTCAAATAAAGAAAGAATTTCGTTAATACCTCACCCACACCTTGTTTTATTCTATCTCATTATCGACCCGTCCTTATTGGATAATATTTATCATAAATTCAATTACTAAAATTGAAATTCCTATCATTAGAGAAATATATAGTTAACAGGCTTGATGAAATTTGAATAATGACTTCATTTAAACCTTTTATCAATAAAATCAGATAAAAATAAATAAATGATTTTTCAACAAAAAATACACAAAATACAGGGTGGTCTGGCGGGAGGTATGAAAGATTTGAAAGTGGAGCCAACTATGGTGAATATGAACCTCATGTTCTCGGAATAGGTAGTATCTACTGGACACAATTTGTCATTTTAGTCGCCATGCAGCCGTGGTCGATTGAGCATCGCGTGTTTGTTTACAACACCTTCATTGAAATGAGCCCTTCTGTGATTCAAACACAGAGACGATTCCGCAATCATTTTAATGTTGGCACCGTCCAGTTCCGAGGTTTGAAACAATTTTGAAGTGAGTGAATGCCGGCTCGTCATAATTGTTTAAATTTTGGAACTCGACCGTGACTATTTCACTCATCTTGAAATTCTAACACAATGTGAACAATCACACAGAAAAGACAACTCGTATTATCAGTAGTAATACTATAAGTAGGTACTTCAAAATATTCGGGTTATACATCGATAAATTATTGAATAATTACGAGGAGTGTCAGTTTGACAGTTGAAATAATCCGACCGCGAAGCGGGAAGATTATTCTGTTAAACTGAGGCGATTTGTAATTATGCAGGAAGTTCAAGAAATGTGATCAAATAACTGTTTATTTCACTTATCAACACGTTCACATTAATTTTTGAAATTGTGAAAATTATCTAGAACTTGAGATGAATAATTCACCTGATATTTTGGACGAAATGTCTTTGGGTGTGAGGGAACAGATCATATACCAAAACGCATGTCCTGCCCATTACCGAGTAAATGTAGAAAATTTCACAAATAATACATTTTTCAAAGATGGATAGGATGAAATATGGACCAATATGTTGGCCAGCTGATCTCCAGACCTGATCTGCATCGACAATTATATCTGGGGACGGAAGAATAACTGGTGTACAATATACAAAGAAGCAAGAATAATGGAGGCGAAAATGTGGCTAGGCTTCACTAGAGTTCCTAAATGTACTTGACACTGCTGTTTTGCCGTGTTTTGTATATTAGAGTACGGACACTAGACAAGCAGTGACAATCAAACATAACCACAAACGATTTTGAAGCAAATCATATGTTTTGCCAGACAAGGACAAGAATATGTTTTTTGCTTGATAAAGGATCCTCGCATCTTTCTTCCTCCACAAGTCCTGGGAAGAGTACATCTATATATCTTTCTCTCTCTTTGATTTTTAATGAGAGTGCATAGCCTCTCCTTGAGTGGGTAAAAGGGTACGAAAAATTGATTAGAAAATCATTTCTTCTCGAAATATTGAATGATAAGGCTGAAGGACTTCAATGGAGGTCGAGTTCAAGTTGGTATGTACATATATACCAACAAAATACATATAATACATTCTTATGAAATGAGTCTTTTATATGTAGGTAGGTAGTAGGTATATATGTATATACGATCAGTTGAATATTTTTTCATCACAAAAGTTCAGAATAGGGTAAAAACTGATAGATTTAAATCAATGAAACATACTTTTATTTCGTATGGAACAATTTCACTTGTACAAGAGTGGTAGGTAATGAGTAATTTATTAATGAACAAATGATATGGCAACAATAAGAGCTGATTTTAGTTAGGATGAATAATGAAGGTTGTCCAAGACATACGGAAGTAGGTATAAATGGACTTCAGCGCTTGACTCACTCAGAGATTATAATCTCTGACTCACTGTAGATCGCCGTTCACATTGCTAAAGGGGATTGTTGGTTTGAGCCCGGCCATCAGAAGATCATTTTCAATACCTAACATAAATGGTGCACTCGTTGAGCGTTCTTGTTCTGTGCTCTGATAATATCTTGCTCGTGTCTTGGTACCCAAGAAGTGGTTCAAAATCCACTAGGAGCTGTAGTCCTCTAGCACTTCTCAACTACGCATGAACATGCACATTCAGACTTGGGATTTCAACTTTGAAGAAGCGATACACGAACAATATATTCATCTCTTTGATATAGATACATCAATATCTGGTACATCAGAGTTCCACAAAATTATTATAAGAGTTCGTATACGAAGATGATCTAAAGAATTCTTGGTTGGATATTCCTGCTCTAACAATTCGATTCTCAAGTCTTTTTCTTTCAAAATATGTTCGAAATGAATTTCATTATCTGCAAGTTTTTCGTTTCTTGTTGGTTCTAAATTGGAATGAGATTTTTTTCGATACTCGCTCAGTTTATGAATTGTGAAAATTCGAATAGAGTGAATTGATTTCCCGTGTTCTCACAGTTGGAAACTGCACAAACTTACATCTTCCTCCTAATTCTTTCAGTTTGTCAAACCTTTGAAATCCATGTCAAGTACGTCCCTGTACTGTCAGTTCCCGCTTTTTTCATCAATTTATTTGTGGTTATGTCTGATTGTCAGTGCTTGTCATAGTGTCCGTACTCTTATATACAAAAAACGTCAAAACAGCAGTGTCAAGTACATTTAGGAACTCTAGGCTTCACCAGTACAGAGATGCGACGAAGGCTAAGTTAAAATTAATTAAAATGGATTTTTTCCGCATCTTATCGACAGAAAGCTATTATGCAGATATAAGCTTTGCGTTTGTTTTGTTTTTCCTCATGTTCCTTCACTTTCAGTTATTTATTTCATAATGACTTTCTTGCATGTTCTACTCGTTATTTCAATATTGTATCTGCTATGTTTCTGGAATAGTATAATTCGATGAATGAATGAAATTGCAAATGAACATAAAATATGATGAGGAGCTATTCCCCAATAAAGTTGAATCAATAGACTATTTACATCTAATTCGAATTTTATTCCTTTTAGGCTAGACTTACTTTTCACTGGAGTATAAATGTAAACTTGGTATACAGCTTAATCTTGTTCTAAGTATCGTAAATGCCTCTGTTTGCGGTAACAACATCAATAGGCCATATAAGGCCCTGACCAAATTTTTATCACAAGGTACCTCAAGTAGTTCCAACCTCAAATCTAAAAGCAAAATGTTGGATATATTGGATCATATTAATAATATTTGAAATCGACTTACAAGCATATACTGGAGATTCTATAAGTTGCACTAACTTATCTATTTCTGTTAGAAATTCAACAGTAACTTCCAAGTTACCACTAAATTGGAGTTAACGAAAAAATTATTTGATAATTATGAATAATATCACTGAAATTATTTGAAAAAGGATACAACAGTTTTATCAAGTCACAAACATGACTATAGCTTTGAGTAAGCAGGCACAGTGCAACTGTGGCCACTGGATTGTGGCACCATGTATCATATAAGCAACAAAAAAGTGATCTACAGTCCTGAAATCAATCGGTTATCTTACTATCAATTATTGATATTTTATCATCATACCAAGCATTACCTCTGTTTTCAGATCCTTCAATCTACTCCTCATGTCGTACAGCTCTGAGGAAGTTAACAAAATCATATTTAGGTGTTCAACCATTAGACTAGCAAATTTGTAATTAGTTTCCTTGACCAGAATTTGGGATAAAGTCCTATAGATATCTTCAGCATTGAGTAGAGTGCAAAGTTGTCTTGAAGAAAATAAAATTATTGAGTTATGATAGAAGAGATAGATACAAAATACATAAAGTAGTGATCCAACGTCTAAATAATGATTATCCCATCAAAGGTACTCTGAAGTAGTGCTGAATAAGTGGTAGTTTAAAAAACTGAGGAAACACCCTTTTATAGATAGCCAAACTGAAAAAAAGTAGAAAATAAAATAATGAAAGGGTGTTGATAAATACTCAAAAAGGAAATATTGGCATCTCCGTAATTAGTACATTCTAAGTTGTGTATTTATCAACTCACTTTAATTATTTTATTTTATACTCTTTTTTAGTTTAGTTATTAATAAAACGGAGTTTCTTTAGGTTTGTGCTATCGATACTAAACAAGAGTACTATTTTTAGGTTAAAATTATGATATCTTCATATTTCCTGGTCAAACTGCCGAAAATTGCATATAAAAAATAGTTGAGGGAAGAAATGCCTCTAGCACCAACTATTTCCCACGCCCCTGATAAATATTTCCAAAAATTCTCATTATTCCCAAATCGGGCATGAAAAGTAATATACATGTACAAAATTTCAATATCTCAACACAGAGGGTTTCGGAAATATTTACAAAAAATCATCATCTCGGGCCCTCTTTCGGATGGCTGTCACTCCCCAGGGTTCCATTTCTGGGCTCATGTTTACAGGAACTTATTTTACTTTTTTTTTATAGAATCTGTGGATAACAACCTCGTTGTAATCTTTTTATGTAATTTGGGACACCCTGTATAATGCCACTGTGGTGGAGATGCACCGTATTGGTGATATTAGCAATATTGCTCTAGATATCCGAAGATTGCATCAGTCAAATTTTCGAATTCAGGAAATTATTATTTCAAGTAACTTCCTGAAATATAATAGTTATTTGTTTAACTATGCAGAAAAGTACAAGATTTAATGCCGCGGCTGGCGTTTCATAGCCTAGGCGTTGCCGAGGTTAGAAAACTAGAAAGGGAACAAAAAATTATGGTACAGGGTACTAATTCTGAGTGGCATCCAGGGGTAGTTGTTGACAAGGTTAGGCATAGGTCGTATAAAGTAAAGATGGATAATGGATCTGTAATCGAGAGAAATAGACGGTTTCTGGCTGTAATTCCTAAAGATATTGCATAACAAAACGGCTCATCTCTACCAAATATATTGAATGATGAACCAAGTGACAATGATGTTATTTTTGTAGAAAATCAAAGTAGTAGAGGAAGAATTATCAAACCTGTACAGAGATATAACCCAACTGATTATTCAAAAAAGTAGGTGAAACTTTAGCAAAGGTAATTTTAGAGTTATTAATATTATATAGGATATTACATCAAACTGATTTTCTGAATAAAAGGGGGAAATGTAGCAGAGTACCCAGTATATGAATTCTATTTCATCATTATTCCAAATTTTTTGGGATTTTCTCTCCTCGTTTCTATAAAATAAAAATATGAATATTATTTCAATATACGTGTAGTAAGGACAAATCAGATGATTTGCCCCAAAATGTCACTGCGTTTAAAGAATTTTCCTATCAGAGAGCCTAAAAGAAAAATTCACTAGCTTGTCAGTGACAATTTGTATTGAAAAAATTTTTGGAGAAGAGAAATAAAGGTATATAGAAAAAATATCAAATTTTTACTTATCTTTGGACGTTTCGGGACCGGTTCTGCTCCCGTTTTCAACATGAAAAGAGATTATTTCAAAGCGAAGTCGTATAATGTGTCTTGAAGCTTTTCAGTTTTCAATGACAATTGGTGACGTTGGCAATCAAAAAAAAAAAAAATAAAAAATAAAAAAAATAAAACGTGTTGGTGATAAATTTCAAGTGAAAACTGTGTTCAAAACTGAAAATACAATGAGATCAATTCTAACTCAAACAAAGCCGAAAAATGAAGAACAATCGTCAAAAAATTGTATTCACAGTATACCTTGTGTTTGTGGAAAGTTTTATACAGGTGAAACCAAGAGACCTCTTTCAGTAAGGACGAAGGAACATAAGTACAATATAAAGAAAAGAAACATCGATAAATCGAAACAGTGGAATAATTAATTCATTGGAAAAGAAGATAACAACCAGAAGAGAAAAATCAAGGAATCTGCTTGCATTCTTCTGAACGGAGACAATAGCATTGCTTCTTGTTCAGTTGATATAGACAGAACATGGTATTCACTACTAAAATTTGAACATGAAAATGGTAAATTCAAGATTAATTAATGAAAACATCCTGTAACTCATTTGATTGCCAACGTCACCAATTGTCATTGAAAACTGAAAAGTTTCAAGACACATTATACGACTTCGCTTCGAAATAATCTCTTTTCATGTTGAAAACGGGAGCAGAACCGGTCCCGAAACGTCCAAAGATAAGTAAAAATTTGATATTTTTTCTATATACCTTTATTTCTCTTCTCCAAAAATTTTTTCAATACAAATTGTTACTGACAAGCTAGTGAATTTTTCTTTTAGGCTCTCTGATAGGAAAATTCTTTAAACGCAGTGACATTTTGGGGCAAATCATCTGATTTGTCCTTACTACACGTATATTGAAATAATATTCATATTTTTATTTTATAGAAACGAGGAGAGAAAATCCCAAAAAATTTGGAATAATGAATGTACCACCTCCTCGATTAACCTACAGACAGTATCTATTTCATCAACTTCACTTTTTATGTTTAAATCGTTTTTGTATTGCTGTCGATCCCAGTCATTGTCAATTTTGATTACCAATTTGATTCAAATTACCTGTAACGTTGCATAGCAACAAACTTCTTTTGCCTAGGCAGTAAAAGTTCACCTTTTCTACCTATCAAGTGTCACTAAAAACCCACTTTTAATGTCATTTGGAGAAAATAGTTATTTGTTTTACTAGGCAGAAAAGCACAAGATTTAATACTGCGGCTGGCGTTTCATAGCCAAGGATTAGCCGAGGCTAGGAAGCCAGCCAAGGCATTAAATCTGTTTTTTTGCCGTGTGAAACATAATTTTTTCACCAAATTCGACCAATTTCAGGCAAACTCCAAACAATCTACCATTTTGTGTTCACCCAACGTCAGAGTCAATTTTGATTACCAATTTGATTCGAATTATTTCTTGGAACGTTGCATAGCAACAAACTTTTTCTGCCTAGGCAGTAAAAGTACACCTTTTCTGCTTATTAAGTGTCATTAAAAATCCACTTTTAATGTCATTTGGAGAAAAATATTTTTTTTAGGTCTGATTACTTCCATTTTCTGTTCAGTTGACGAGATACATACAGTCTTACTGTTACTTACATTTATAATCAGTCTGTTCAAGAATGAGACATCTGATGTTACCAACCTGATAATAAACGATCCTCGTTCATCCAACAGACGTCTATCAACACTAAATGAAATAAGTAAGCTAACCATAAACTTGTAGTAATATGTTTCATCTGCAATAAGTTCAATGTAGTTCATTATTTCATTTTCCTTTCAAATACACACTACTATCTCCAGCATTAGTTGTTTTTGGAAAAGAAATCACTTCAGCTATAACCACAAGACATTGTTGAACAACTTCGTCAGACTCATCAGATAATGTTTTCTGTAGGGCAGGGAATAATACATTAATGTAATCATTCATCTGAAAAAAATTAAAACGTTGATTATTTGTTGTGAAGACCTTAAAATATTGTATTCTTACTTTGTTTGGAAGTTTGGTGTACAAATCATGAATCCATTTCAATACAGCAACTTTGGTTTGTATTGAATTGTGCATCAAGTATTGAGTCAACACATTCACTACTGAAGGTAAGTCCAATTCATTTTGCATTCGGTCTTCAGTAACTAAAAACAAATAGTTATATTGATAGCAGCATTAAAAATCATCCTAAACTAATCTATATCTAAAGTTTTGTTTTCTAAGTTACTTCGAAACTAAAAAATAATTGAAAATCAAGATCTTACCTATCGACTGCCTTAGATTCCCTTCTATTTCGTCATCTTCTAGTGAAATTAGTTTCATCAGAGTGAAGTTAACGGCAGTAGCAGTTTCCTTTATGTCTGTCACTGTATTAAGGAAAAATAAAATGTAAGAATCATGCAAAATAAAACATGAATGAATAAAATCATTAACACAAAAGCAGCCGAAAAATTGTTAATGATGTGGACAAAATAATAATCATGCATTATCGTGGATAGCCATATATGTTTTCTAGCAAAATTCATGAATTAACAAGGAAAACCCCACGCACAGCCTAGGTTTCTGTGGGTCGACCTGTTTATTCGTGAAAGTCATACTATCAAACTGAGATTCATTGCAATTAGTGTACTCATGGCAAATTGTATGAGAGGAATTTCTTTAGTAATAAATATTATTACTATTATATTCTATCGTTAATATTACATTGTCTAACTCAGGAGTTGTTTTACATTATTATTATATACAGGGTGTTTCGAAATCGACTGATGAAGCTTGACAGGTGATAGCCCTCGTGATTTCATAATTAATGGGGATAGGGACATTCGGTTTTCAAGTGTTCTGTTCTCCAGATACAAAGTGATGAAGTTGAGAAATAATAGTTATTTATTATACAAGAGAAAAGTATTGGATTTTAGCTCAAGGCGTCAGGACACAAAAAACCGTGAGCTAAAATCTAATATTCTTTCCGTGTATAAAACACTATTTTTTTCTGAGACAGGAAAAAGGACAAATCAATATTGAGAAGATATTACATTATATTAAAACTAGGAAATTATCGACGTAAAATTTGAAGTTTTTAACAGGAATTAAACCTGAGTTGCAGGCATATTTCAAATTTTTTTGAAGTAATGAAATATCTGTCAGTCTACATGTGGGCGTGTTCTTGTCAGTTCTCAGTATTCAGCACAATGTTGCCAAGCCTCCAACATTTACATGATATTTTGTTATGGATGTTAACAAATATTTGCACATGCTGGTTGCTTGAAAAAGTCAAGTCAACTATAATATTATGGGTTCCTACTATTATGTTTTATTCAACGATAGAACTTTCCATCTTCAACTTGATTATAATTGGTGACTTGGCAACCTTCATTATTCCAAATTTTTTGGGATTTTCTCTCCTCGTTTCTATAAAATAAAAATATGAATATTATTTCAATATACGTGTAGTAAGGACAAATCCGATGATTTGCCCCAAAATGTCACCGCGTTTAAAGAATTTTCCTATCAGAGAGCCTAAAAGAAAAATTCACTAGCTTGAGAAGAGAAATAAAGGTATATAGAAAAAATATCAAATTTTCACTTATCTTTGGACGTTTCGGGACCGATTCTGCTCCCGTTTTCAACATGAAAAGAGATTTTTTCTATTGCGAAGTCGTATAATATGTCTTGAAGCTTTTCAGTTTTCAATGACAATTGGTGACGTTGGCAATCAAATGAGTTACAGGATGTTTTCATTAATTAATGTTGAATTTACCATTTTCATGTTCAGATTTTAGTAGTGAATACCATGTTCTGTCTATATCAACTGAACAAGAAGCAATGCTAATATATATAAATCTTCAAGTTTTCTGAAATGATGATTGATGTGAGGCCCATACCTATTTGTTAAATACTGTATGTAGGTTAATCATCATTTCAGAAAACTTGAAGATTTATATATATTAGCATTGCTTCTTGTTCAGTTGATATAGACAGAACATGGTATTCACTTATATCGAAGACTGGAACCTTTGGCACGATAATACACTACACTGTTTTACCACTAACCAAACCGCTTTTTTAACGCCTCGACACGTGTTTCGCTAACTATGTTAGCATCTTCAGGAGAAGATTAAAACTAAATATCCTATTCTAGTGTGCTGCTTATATACTAGGTATATGTTCACCCAACTGTGAAAAATACTAACCGTCAAGTTAATGTTTGTCATGGTTGAGTTCACATGTTAATCTAAATTTTTATTTTACTAAACTATATAGAGGGCTATATGGAATAGGTCCATTATCCTTATTCATTACTCTATTACTATTCTTAAATATCTCTAAGCTTTCATATGCGTCTAGTTTTCTAATGTTATTAACTTGCTTAACTAATTTGAGGTTAGTAATATGTGTTTCAGCTAGGGGTAGATTTTAGTGGACTGTATGTTTTTGGTTGTGGATTCAATATTATTGTATCACTTAGATTCAGTTTGAATAATCGAGCACGATTCACCTTTATGACCTTACCTCGCGTTTTTGATCGGCGGAGACGTTCAAGTAGGCACTGCTTTGGTACTGCTCCCGAGGAAATGCCGGAAGAGGGCCCTCTCGTTGTGGATGTAACAGGTTCAACACTTAATACGGGAGTTATCGCGGATTTAGCTAATCGTCACCATTTTATTCAACATCATTAGATGTGAAAATTACCGGCAAAAATGACATACACGGTGATGCGGTATATATCGAAGTGGGACGAGCTGTCGATGCTCATCCTTGACTCGGAGGCACTCGCGCAGGCGATTAAGGATCATCGTGCATATATTAGCGCGAAATTGGAATAATTAAAAATACAATAATATTTTCCCTATAAATACATATAAAAAAGATTGAGAACTCCCTAGTTCTCATAGAACAAAATATATACTTAAAAAAAATAACGTAAAATGATATTCAAAATAGTGGATTTCGAACATCCTACCCACCGTTTTTGTTAGATAAAAATGTAACAAAAAAAAACTATGCGTCCGGTAATGGACACAATTTAACAAGCGGTCTCGTATAAACACCCTGGTTGTCTCGTATCTTGGCAACGCGAGCAACACCATCGTTCCCCTTATGGAATTCTAATACCCTAGCTAGCTTCCAACTTAAGGGAGGCACATTGTCTTGCTTAACTAAAACAAGCGTTCCCTCTTTAAGGGGGGTTTCCGGTAAAGTCCATTTAGCCCGCTGTTGCAAGGTATGTAAATATTCATTATGCCAACGTGACCAAAAATCGGCATGAAGCCTCAGTAAAAGTTGGTAACGATCGAGTCTGTTCAATTTTAGATGGGACAAGTCTGAATCTGGCAAAACTGTGAGCGGTTCAAGGGAGATGAAATGTCCAGGGGTGAGGGCGGATAGATCGTTGGGATCTGAAGACATTGCACATAGCGGACGGGAGTTTAATAGGGCTTCAACTTGTATCAGCACCGTATTGAGCTCTTCATAGCTCAAAATCTGCTCACCTACAACCCTGGCCAAGTGTGATTTAACCGATTTAATTCCGGCTTCAGCTAGACCGGCGAAATGAGAGCCATAAGGAGGCAAAAACGACCATTTGATTCGTTCGGAAGCAGCGGCGTGTTCAGTTAATTTCAAAAGATATTTATTGGCAGCAGTAAAATTTGTCCCATTGTCTGAGACAATATGGGAGACTCGTCCCCTTCTACCAATGAAGCGGCGCAGCGCACATAAGAAATTTTCTGATGTCAAATCACTCACAAGTTCGATGTGGATTGCCTTGGTAGCGAAACACACAAAAATGCAAAGGTAGGCCTTCTGGGTCTTAGCACCCCTATGTCTACCCAAAGTTATAATAAATGGTCCTCCGAAATCGATCCCCACAATAGAAAAGGCCTTAGCTTGTGATATGCGTATGGAAGGTAAATCGGCCATGGGCGGCTGAAGCGGGGTAGGCTTCAAGTGCCAGCACTTCAGACATTTAGATAAAATGCTCCGAATTGCACGACGAGCAGACAGAATCCAAAAGTTATGTGTAATCAAAAATTGTAATGTTTGCAATCCTGGGTGACAATATTTTTGATGAGTGTCAGATATTATGAGGTCAGTTAGACGTGATTGTCTTGGTAATAATATAGGGTGTTTCCTGTCATAATTTAACAATGAATTTTTCAGCCTTCCTCCGACCCTTAACACATTATTTTCATCAAGAAATACATTCAATTTCCTGAAGCTGGCAGCTGTTTATTTGACAAGTTCATTATTTCGCTCGAGAAAAATAAAAACTGTATGCGTTTTACATGAAATAATAGAGCGGTTTGTAAATCTTCTGCAGAAAAATGAGTCCTATCTCTAGCTTCAGGTGCGACCTTGCAGTTATTGATAAAACGAAAAATATAGGCGGTGACAGCCTTTATTTTGTCAAGGGAGGAAAATTTGGAAAGCAAGTCGTCCAAAAAATTGCTATCCTTGAAAGAAGAAAGCGCAATCTTTCTTTCTTCAGCTTGAACAACTTTGTCGGGCGGTAGTTTAGAAAGTTGCAGGCGTGGCCAATGATCGTAGGGTAAATGTAAGAAAGAAGGCCCTACCCACCACTCGGGTAAGTTGATGATGTCATTCGGAAACACACCCCGTGATGCGCAATCGGCAGCATTTTTTTCCGATGGCACATAGCGCCACGAAGCGTTAGGTATGTTTTCCTGTAACACCGAAATTCGGTTACCTACAAACGGTTTCCATTTATGAGCCGATGACGTCACCCACCATAGCACAGCCTGACTATCAGTTAATGCAAAAACATTTTGAAAAGCTATATTTTCAGAATAAACGTCAATAACGAATTTCATCAACTTAGATAAGAGCAAAGCTCCGCAAAGTTCAATGCGCGGGACCGATAAGTGTTTTAACGGTGTCACCTTTGATTTGGCAGTAACTAATAATGAGGTAACGCGGTTACCTTTAACTACGCGGATATAAACGCAAGCGGCATAGGCTTTCAAAGAACCATCGCAAAATCCACACAAATCTATTGAATCAGCATTATCCGAAAAAACATATCGCGGAATTTCGAGAGTTGATAGAACAGAGAGTTGATTTTTGTAAAGTTGCCATCGAGACAAAATTTTGTTTGGCGGAACTTCATCCCAACTCAATTTTAACTTCCATAACTCTTGGATTAAAATCTTCGCAATGAGGGTAACGGGCGTAAGAAAGCCAAGAGGGTCGTAAACGCGGGCCAGCTCAGACAGGATATTTCGTTTAGTGCACGGCTTATTATTCGAGCAAACTGAGTATGAAAATGTATCGGATGCAGGATTCCACTTCAAACCTAGAATTTTTATAGTTTCTGTGGAGTCCAGATCAAGTGCAAGAGACTTTTCTT